TTTTCTGGGATAGTTCCAGGCGCTCTGGGCACCCTGTCCTCGGCCCCCACTGGCACTGCTGGAAAACCCTGGCGTCTGTGACTGTGCCCACAAGGCTCTGGTGTGGTCACTGGAAACTGTCAGATATCCCACATACCCACAGAAGGAACCTTCCCACTGCATTTCTTCATCACCTGGATTATCCAGGCACCCAGAGTCCTAGGGGGAAGGGCTCTCCAATCTGCTATCCACACCAGGACAGCCTGCGACCCTCACCGCAAACACTGCACCCTGGGGGGGGCCACCCTCTGAGACCCCTAACTGAAACCTACCTGATTCTTTAAGGTAAGTCAAATACATTGTAACTCATCCCCAGGTCAGCCACCTTCCTCTGTCTTGCATTTAAGCTACTGAAACTTTGTAACCACTCTAACCCTAAAACTGAGATTTGCTGAGACAAACTGGATGCAAAGTTAGCAGATTTTTAGAGCACCAAGGGCCTTGGAAAGGGAAGATCCCTTTTATTCCTGCTCCAAAAATATGTGGTACATTTCCCGTGTTAGATCACAGAACAGATGAGCTATTTCCCTCCTGAAGTTTGTGTGCTAAAGCAGGAAGCCTGCCTGATCGCTCTTCCTGAGCAGTCCTCCACCACGTGCCTGTAATACTGTTGGCATTTTATTCGCACGTCTTTCTCCCGAGAGGTCTTGCAAGGTGCTTATAGCTACAGGCCATGGCTTGCCTGCCTTTATGTCCTTGGTGACCAGCCCAGTGCTGGCCCATAGTACACACTCCAGCACTGATGACGGGTGACCTGGAACAGCACAGGATGAATCCGCACACACAGGGAACTCCTGGCAGCGCAGTTAAAAAACCAGAGTGACACTCAGGGGTGCTCAGTCTCAGGAGACCATCAGGTAGCAACCCTGAAATTCACCCAAGATCTAGCGAACACTGAAACACGTTGGAGTGCCCGGCATTAGAGGCACAGAAAGGGGTGCTGGGCACACGAGGCCTTGCATTTCTGTGCTTTTTAATCAACATGGGAGGCAGGGAGGGATACGATTATTAAAGAGCATTCTGAGACATGGAGACAAAAAAGCTAAAGACATCTTCAGTAAGTGTGAGCCCCATCTTCTTCCTGTTGCCTCCAGGACCTGTACCCTCAGGCCTGCCCCAGTCTGTGGAGGGACATTTCCCTTCCGGACACCTAACTGCAAACTCCAAAAACCTCTTCGGTTCTCAACCGCTGTCATTTTCAGTTAGGCGATTATTGGAAGTTAAAATGCAGAGGAATGAATTTTAACAGTTTCCCTGGCTAACCTGGCTCCCTTTGAGGAGACCGAAATGAGATTTTCCACTGACTGAGCTACGTCCGAGATTAGCCTGGTTTTCCCGTGGGATTCTCTGCAGCACACAGCTCGATTGAGAACCTGTTACGAGACAAAGGGGAGGGGAAGCCTACAAGCAATGCAGGAGGGAGTACCAAGCAAGCTCTCATTTCTACAAAACTCTGTGATGTTTCCAAATCGTTGGGCAAAAAACACGCATGCAAATTGCACGGCTCTGTTTGAGGAGGAAGAAAGTTATAGCATCTGAACAAAATTTTCAAGGGTCACACAATATAAAACATGAAAATGCCTAGTGAGCCCAAAATTGCATTTCCTGGCCCCAAAATATCAGTGACTCTTTTACCTTCTTTGAAATATATGCAATTATCCCTTCCAAGATGAACATTGACATTATATTACTCTTAATGAACAATTTATTTTCATGAGAAGCGATTTTACTTCATGAGACCCCAAAGAGTCTAATGCTCAGTCCTGGGATTGTTGGGGACCCTGCAGATGTCTCTCCCTTCGTCTGTTCTTCTCTCTAACGCACAACACTTACCACCACCATCTACTGAGCGCCAAGCCCACTGGGGAAGCCAAGTGAGAAACAAAGGCAGTCTCCAGCGTCGCAGGAAAGATGACAGCAAGCACAAAATCCCCAACAACACCAGCTGGGTGGAAACTAAACCTCCAAGAAGCATCCAGGTAATTTCCCAAGGGAGCTGTGCTGGCCCAAAGCCTCCTCTCCGAGAAGCCTTAGACCACACTATCTGTTCCTCTCTCCTGCATGAGCCAGAACAGGAAGGGTGAGGGATGAGCAGGCATCCGTGACACTCCCAGGGGACAGTGACTCCACCCCTCCGACGGGTCCACAGACCCAGGGGAAGGAGGCTGTTTCCCTTTCAAAGCTTAAAAAAGCACACAGGACACATAACAGAGACCAGAGAACATAAGCAAATAAGGCGCCAAAGTACTGACTGGCGCATTAAGAGAATGTCCAATAGAATCCTTTTCCTGACAGACTGGCTTCCCTGCAAGCGGGGGAGTGAAAGCACCCCATCACCCCTGCACCCCCACCACCTGTCACCTGCTCCCTGGACTGGGAAGCCACGAACTGCCATCCACCCAGCACTCTTCAATAGATGTCCTGGTCTCCAAAACACTGGTATGAAGCCCCTCTTAGGAGAAGCTGCAAGAGGCTCCTCGTGTAAGCTGGCAGTGTTCACCCAGCGTTCTAGGAATTCCACACTTGCAGTTCTAGCAAGTCTAACAAGTTCTAGTCCAAGGGCTTGTTAGCTGCCAACGATGGAAGAATGCTTTGTTGGTTCCAGGCTCGGGGTAGTGGCAAAGTTAGAAAAACTGCCAGGAGGTGGCCTGGCAGCCTCCTCAGGCCTGTCAAGGAAATGAACTTTCTAATACAATTCAGTTCCTTAAAGAAATGTCAGCTTTCAGTCATGGTATCAGACCTGTCTGTCCCCCAGGGCGGGGAAAAGGCTAAATGTCAGGGAACAAATTACGGAAGCTCTTTACCAGATTGAAAGTTATATTTGATTCCTTCTGGTGTTTAATAGAATACTAAAACTGTTTCATAATGCCATCAAGTAATAAAGCACCAAAAAGACAGCGATCGTCTACAGTCAGAGGCCTCCTACCGACATCCCGATGATCCGGCTTTTCTTTAAAAATGGAAAGACCTAGCAACATGGGTCCTGCTTTTCTTTCCTGCAAGGAAGCAACCTTCCCAGCCCCAGGGATGCTCCCCACATGCAGCCTGCTGCAGCCCCACGGCACCTCGGCGTTTCTCCTGGGTACGCTCCCCAGATGCACTTGAGTTGACGTTGCTGCACTAAAAAAAAGATGGGACACGAGTGCCCCCTGCTCTTGAGAAGCTGAGCTGAGAGGCACGAAGCCAGGTTACCACAGGAACAGAGGACCCCGGAACACTGGGGTTCGACTGACTCTCAGGAATACATGCTGACTGCACGGGGCATCTGGCACTGGGGTCTCATGGGATAAGAACAGGCAGGTAGGTGGGAGCGAGGGGGGAGGGGGCAAAAGGCATCCAGCCTCTCCCAAGGGGGACTGGAGGGGGTTGTCACCAACCAGGATGATGCTGAGCGCAGGCGAGCACGCCAGGCACCGAGCAGAGGCCGCTGCAGCTCCACTGTTGGAGGGAAGGAGCAGGCAGCAGGACAGCTGCGGTGGGGTACAGGACTCTGCCAGCACACTGGGGCGAGCACTTCACTCTAGCTTCCTGCCTTCTCTGCCAACAGCCAGGTCTCATCCACCATGACTGTCACTCAGGGCCCGGCGGGCTCCACAGATTCCTCCTGAGGGTCACCAAGCCAGGCCAGGGCCTCCCAGGGCCTGCGGCTCCTTGTGGCAAAGGCGCTCCCGCTCCGGGCTTCCTCCCAACCATACACATGTGTTAGGCCCAGGGTGTGTTCAGTAACCCTCTGCCCTCACCGCCCAACATGTGTCATGTGACCTGGGCTTTGACACAGGGGCCACAGGGGTGGCAGAAAGAATGTGGCCCTTGGAGAACACAGATGGGAGCTCGCTGCACAGAGCTGGAGAGGCACCGGCCTGTGGTGGGCACAGCAAGGGAACAAGAAGCACCGCAGAGGATGCCACCCCAACCAGCTCTGCTTTAGCGCTGGGTCAGCTCTGCTTTTTCCCCAGCTAAATACATCAGATCTCAAACAAAGGCTAAGACACGGAAATCAACATGCGGCTTTTAAAAAGTGGCCTGAAGTTCTAATAGTCCCAAACAGACTGTTTCCTAGACTTGCCACTGTTAGAACACACAGGCCCATCCCTCCCTCTTGTCATTTGCAATGGCTGTGATATAATGGAGACCAGAGGCCCGCAGGGGGGCGTGTGTGGAGCAGGCATCTAGGGCTGAGCTCTCGCCGCGACTTTCACAGAATGAACAATACCGAGATTCTCTCTTCAGCTGTATTAACCTTCTGTCACAGAAACTCTAAGAATTTTATATACTACCCTTCCCCTATGGATGGCACATTTCAAAGCATCTCCCCATTGAAAACATTCTTCTCTTCCACAGCTAACATGGGGCTCGCACCAAAGACTGACTTAATTGAGTATCTATTTACCGAAGCCAGAAACTCAATCATGGGAAAAATTTTCTTGGAAGGGGCTGAACAACTGAGCACTGAGTCACTTGAGACCTTGCTGAGAAATAACCTGAATAACCTGATGGGCTGTACGCAGGCTAGGGGTGCAGGTTGGGTGGGTGTGCAGGGATCTGGGACCACAACGGGACCCCATCTCAGGGTCGGCCTCCCACGGCACACCAGGCGGGCAGCACAGTGTACCTCCATGACAGTGCTGACCTGAGTCCTCAGGGGTGCTGACGTTCATAGACTTAAGCTGCCAGAGCCAGGGGGCTTACTTTATTTTTAGCAAGCTCTTGCAAGGTCTCCCTATGCAGTTCAGGCTGGCCTTGAACTCACTGTGCAGCCAGGCTGGTCTCGAACTTGAAATGATCCTCTTGCCTCTGCCTCCCGAGTGCTGGGGTTACAGAGGTATGCCACTACACCTGGCATCAAACTCTATTTGCAAGGAAAGCAGGCAGCCAGCCCCAGGGTGGGAGGTGGCTCAGCCCCACCTGCAGCCTCTCCTGATGTCCCCTTCGCTCCCCCGCCTCCTGCTACGGGCACTTGCCTTGGTGGCCTCCTCCACACTCTCCCTCAGGGCCTGCAGCTCTGCGTCGTACTGTGCCTTCAGCCTGTCCATCTCGTGGTCGTGGCTAGAAACCTCTTCCTTCAGGGCTCCCCGCAGGGCTGTGAGCTCTCGCTCCCGCTTCCTCAGCAGCTCCTCCAGCCCCTCCTTGGCGATCAGCAGGTCGTGAAGGTCTCGCTTCGCCTGCAGGAGCTCCTGGGAAGACCAAGGGAGCCGAGGAGGTGAACAGGGACATCTCTGCAGGTGGCCCCATTGGTCTTGGCCAGGTCACCCCCCACACACACCAGGCCCTTTCTCCTCGGACCAGTGCCACCCTATGAGACATCTTTCCTCCTGTCCTGCTCAGCCCTCATTCCCTTGGGCCCCTCAGCCTCAGCCTGTTGGAGACTGAATGTGAGGAAGATGGGGAAACTGCGGTGACCACCACTGTGAGGGACCCTCTGGCCTTGCAGCTCACGGTGTTTCTGTGCGGTGCTCTGCTGTCACTGCCATGACCCTGGGCATGCTGTGGCTACTCAGCTACTCAGGGGCCACTCAGACCGGCCGGCCTGTCCAATGCCTATCCTGTGCACCCTGCAAGGTCAAACCTCCACCCGCACCCCAGATCCCCAGCACAACTATCCCCTGTCCCTGGCGAGGAGTGTGCTGTTCATGATCCTCCTTCACTGCCAAGGACACCCAAGGAAAGTCACCCAAGCAAGGCAGCGGGCTCTGTCCCCATTCCCGCACCTCCGCCAAGTGCCCGGCCAAAGGCTTGGCTTCCCGGTGCTACAGCCCTGGGCACAGCTCCAGCTCAGGGCTCCCACTCCTTGGGTTGTTTCCCCATCACCACTCTCCTGAGCACACCGGGCCTGCCCCCACCCAAGCCCTGTCCCAGAGAAGCGAGCACCCTGAGTTCTGACCCCACTGGCTGTCTTACCGTATTGTTCTTTCCCATTGCCTAGAACCTTGGCTCCCAACAAGCCCTGCCCCAGACCGTCTGAAAGTATCACAGCCTCGAGACCATGTGCTCACCCCTCAGTCTCCCCACTGCACTGAAGCAGCCCCTCCAGGTCCTGGCAAGCACCTCATCGCCACTTCAAGGGCCATTCGCCTTGGTGACCTTCCCTGCCCTTCACCGCAGGATTCTCCTGGCCTTGCAGTGCAGAGGTGCTGTGTTCTCCTGCCTCCTTCCCTGGGGCTCTGTTTCCTGTGGGGATCATTTTTGGCTTTTCTCTCCCCCTTCAAAGAGCTCAGTATGCAGCTTTGCATCCTCTGTTCCCCTGTGGCAAGCTCACCCCGTTTTCCAAAATTATAACTTCTACAAAAACGACTCTGACCCCTGGGCCTGCCACCCTTCTTGGTGTTCACCCCCGGACGCTGCCTGGGGGCTCCCCAGCACTTGGGTCCAGTTCAGGCGGCTCCATCCCATTCCTTCCATTCCACTTCCTGTTTGCATTATTTCTATGACTATGCCTCCTGCTCCCTAAACAGCCAGCTCAGGAGCTTGGCAACAACTTGGACTTTCATCTTGTCAGGTCCCTCACAAGCAGGGTTATTTCTGTAATGTGTTAGATGTTCACACCTCTCACCTCCTCGGGTTGGGCCCACATCACCTACTACATAACTGCTCCATGGCAGGCCGCACCTGCCCCCAGATCTAGTCTGTCCCCTGCAGTCACCAGGACAATGTTCACAGATACGTGCTGGCCCCTCAGGCCCACACCACTCCAGCTCAAAAATCTCTCAAGACCCTGCTCCAGTGTGATCTTCCCCAAGAAGTCCTCCTTCCGTCCCCTCCCAGCCATCTCTGACTTCTACTTCTTTGACACTCTTGACTCTTTACTTTGCATTCTGTGTTTTGTGATTTTTTTTTTTCTGATCTCCCAATGCCATCAGCTCCTTGAAAAACAGATACAGATCCGCTTTATTGCATTTTTGGTGAAAGAATCGTGGTCTTAGGAGCATCCATCTGTTCTGGGAACACGGCACAGCAAGGGTCTGACATGTCAGAAGTCCAGACCCGGTCTGTGCCCCAGCATGGCTCTGAGTGAGAACAAACCCTGTTCTCAGCAACCCATGAGAGGGAGGGACGGGAAAGAGAAGGAGAGAAAAGAGGAGAGGTGGGAATAACTAAGCTGTGCTGCGCGCTTGCCCCTGCACTGGGGTCCTGACCTTATTTCCTGCTCTGATTCTCACACATTGCTCAATTGTTTGAGGATGGAGCCGTTCCTCTCCCCACGCTTATCTTTTCCAGGACATATCTGGGTTTGGGGCTCACACAGTGGAGGTTTTCTGGCCCATCCTGCACGAAGGCTCTTATCTGCCCCAAGGGCTGCTGCCTGAGTGGACCGCACCGCAGGGATCCAATCAGATTACACCTCCCGGGTCCCACGGTGGCACTTGAGGCTTTCCAGAGCGGAGACAAAAGGCACAGCGGGTTTCAGTCGCCTCACTCCACAACCTCGGGCTTAATCATATCAAGTCAGAGAAGGAAAGAAAAACACAGTCACTTCCCAGGGCACAGAAACAGCCACTGTAGACAAACATGCCTCTGCTCAGGCTCCAATGACAGAAAACAAAGGAAAATCCTGGCTCCCAGACCTCCATATACTTAGTTACACACCTGCCAAGCAGCCAGATTAAAAAACAAAGTAATATGCAAGTGTGTGTAGAAAGCCAGCTGTGCCTGGTTCTCACTGCATAAAAAGAGACTTGCCACATATTTCCACGGATTCAAAGAGGTGACTCTTCTTGCAGGAGATGAATATTTTGGAGCTCTGAGACCCTGCCCTGCCCAGGATCCCCAGGCTTGGGAATAGGTGAGCCACCTTGGGAATAGGTGACAAGACAGACTGGACCTTAGCTCCCATCTCTCACCATCCCTCCACCGCTGCCCAGCCTGCACTCACACTTGGAAGGCGGGGAGCAGACACAAGCCCAGGGGCTGTTGGGTACAAACACAGCAGAGCTGGGTTTGGCTGGACTCGCCTGTGGGGAGTTTGGCAGCAGCCCGAGGAGACAGGTCCCTGAGTCCCTGACACCAGGTGGTACCAGGTGGAATCCTTTCCTGAGAATGTACTACGGCAGGCAAGGACCATGGCCTGTCTAGTTGCTGCTTGTGAGAATCTGGAGAACATTCACTTAATATCACACCAAGAGTTCTGCACAGCTGTCTTAAAGACCTCACTTCTTTTAGCATTTGTTTGCTTCTTTTTTGAGACAGGATCTCACTAACTAGTTCAGGCTGGCCTTGAACTCACTGTATAGCACAGGCTGGCCTAGAACTTGAAGCAATCCTCCTGCCTCAGCCTCCTGAGTGCTGGGATTACAGTCATGCACCATCACACCCTGCCTCTTCTTTAACTACTCATTTTCTTAGTATTATTTCACAGATTCCCTATGGATGTCTATTATGAAAAGAGGAACCATTAAAGGACGGTTCCAGGCTGGAGAGGTCAGTGGCAGGCATATAATCGCCTCCTTGGGGCTCTGAGAACAATCTCCATGCCCCAGTGGGAGCTCAGGAGCTCTCCAGCCTGCAGGCAGCAGAGAGTCTGGGACCTTCGGCCTCTTCTGACATTCTGGTGCACCACAGCTGGGCCCCTCAGACTGGGTCAGTACCAAGCACCAGGGGGTCGAGTCTGGTCCTGAAGAATTGGCTTGTTTTAGAATCCTTCCTTTTAAAAGGGATGGCTTTTTACAGTAATTTAAACACTGAAGATGATTCACCTGCTACAGCATTTAGCACTGTGCTAGGTGTGAAGTGGGGGAAGACACAACCATGAGACGCTTTTGCATCAGATGGTGAGAAGAAAAAGACAAGCATCAACATAGAATACAGTCCGGGGGCTGGAACAGAGCCCCCCACCCCAAGGGCAGCTGGCAGTTTGAGGCTCTGGTGATCAAGGAGAATCAGCAACCCCAGAGAATTCCCAGGCTAAGATAACGCCTTTTCTTTCTAGCTCTGGTAAGGATCACAGACTAGGACCAAGTCTTATCTTCCACTTGAGTTTCTCTGTGACTCTGTGCATACCGGGGCCAGAGGCCCTCTAGGGACATCATTTCCGGGACTGTATCCTTAGGGAATGTTTTCACATGTAAAGACAAATGCAAAAAACAGCACAGAATTTGTTCATTATCGCAAAATAAGAAAAATACAGGATAACAACTAGGCAGAGTGAGGTCTATCGAATTAACTAGGAAGGTAGAATAAATAAAGTGCCTCTGATGTGTGGACTGTACGAAGCGGGTACCGGAACGTAGTGACTGCTCTTGGTCCCTATGCGACAAAGATGGGTGGGCGGAACCTGCCCGTGACAAGGGGTCAAATGGAAAACGCTGCCACAGGCAATTCCTTGGATACTAAGAAAATGTGTGTATGTGCCTTGTTTCAAAATTCCATTTTGTATTGTTACAATATTTCACAAACAAATATACCTGTTCTAACACACTTTGCCTGTGTAGATCGGTGAGATGTGGCACCGGTTCACAAACTTTCGGGGGAACAAAGGCACCCCGCAGAGGGACAGAAAAGGCCCTGGGAAAAGCAGGTGTCTGCTCTCGCTCTCACTGTGGGTGGCCGCAGCACACAGGGACAAAAAAGTCTGAGTTCCGCCAGGAGGAACTGAAATCTCCCCCAGGGAATTACTTCAAAAATAACCCCAGAAGGGGAGAGAACACAGGTGAGGACTGAGACTGAAGAAGGAACTACACACTTTCAACCCCAAGAAAGGGACAAGAGAATGCCTCAGCCCTAAGGGACAGTCAGTGGAACATTCAACACTAACGAGGAGCCTTTAATTTTTCCTTTTTTTTTGTGGGGAAGGAGGAGGAATCTTTGTCCTAAATTCTGTAGCATAAGATTTATTGGGTTGTTTTCATACCAAAGCTTATAAAGGAACACACTTCAATACTATGCCAAAATAACAATACTGTAGCAACATCAAATATTGGAATGGATATAAAGATAAAAGATGTAACTTTTCTGAGAGGGAGAGAGGGAGAAAGACAGAGAGAGAGAGAGACAGAGAGAGATGTTTTGGAACTGTTCTTTTGGTTTTTTGAGGGTCTGGCTGTGTAGTTCAGGCTGGCATTGAACTCACACTGATCCTCCTCCCTCAGCTTCCTGCATGCTGGGATTATCATACACCACCACGCCTGGCCTGACCCTCAGTTATATTTATTCCCAACAAAAATGCAGATGTTCAGAATCAACATTTTGGCTCTCTAATCATTTCAGATTTTATACCTCAGCAGGCTGGTAATTGACTCAGGAAAGAGAAGACCAAGGTCTTTGATGAACCCATAATAATTACCAAATGCTAAGTGGAATCTTACCCAGTGGTTCACAGGTTTAAAAAAGGAATATTTAGTGTCTCCTGAGCAGAGGGCCAATGTGCACCCTGAGCACACTGCAAACAGATTTACTCCTTTCGTTCATTCATTACCCCTCAGTGTGGGTCCACCCCATCATTCACCCAATGTGTGCTGACCGCGACATATGCCAGGCACCATGGCACCTGTGGGAAATTTAGTGCTGAGCACCACACCGTTTTGGAGGGCCTTAAAAATAAATAAACACTTTAAGGATTAATATAACCCTAATATTTTTCCATAAACACCATAGTTATAAAATACCCTTGTTCAAAGTTGAACCTGAATTTATCAGTGTTTAGATTTAATCTCCAATTTGCTAAGGATACAGGGGATAGTGGTACAAGTTAGCGTACACCACAGGAAACAATCAGGTAAGTCTGGGAGGAGGGGCACAGCTCTGGCTTCCTCAGGTCAGCAGGATGAGGCAGAGGAGTTGAGGATGGGGCAGGGGGAGCTTCAGAGACACAGGAAACCTGAGTACACAACCAGGAAAGGATTGTGATTCCTGACTGGATCCTGGCTTAGGGCAAGAAAACACAACTATAAAATATACCTGAATAAGGATGAGAATTAGGAATATTATTACCTAATATATAGTGAAAGTCATTTTTCGTTAGGTGTAATAATGGTATTGTAGCTACATAAGAAAATTCCCTCATTTTTTCAAAGATGTGTGCTGAAACTTTTGGGGTTGAGAGAGGATGCTGTCTGCAGTTTGCTTTGAAATGGTTCAGTAAACTAACATGAGAAATAACAGCATGAACAGATAAACAGATGGAGCTAAGGTGACAAAACAGTGACAACCACTGGATCTGTGCCGGGGTCTGTGGAGCTGAAGCACCATTCTTTCTGCTTCTCTCTGTGGTTGAAAATTTTCCTAAGACAATACTGACAAACAACGATGCCCTCACTGAGTCTAACCATAGAAGCACAGATGCACCCTCTCTCTGCCCGTCTTCTCCAAAGGGGATCCAGCCCCCAGCCCCCGGCCCCTCACCTCAATCAGAGCTGCCTTCTCCCTGTCCTCCGACCGCTTAGCACTGTCCAGTTCATCGTGCATCTCCGACAGCTGGTCCTGCAGATCCCTGATCTCGGTCTGGTGCTGTTCCCGCTCCATTTTCACCTGGAAGAGCCTGGCAGGAGAAGCGGCCATCAGATAAGTCCCCTCTCAGACTCTGACCTTTCAGAGACCCACAGAGGGAGCCAGAGCCCAGGGACACCCACCCACCCCAGTCTCCATCCTGCACCGACCGAGAAAGCACCAGCCTGCAAGGGCCTCTGGCAGAAACTAACCTGTCCAGATGTCAGATGAGAGCTCAAACCAGCAAAATGAGATTGGCTACAGGGACACTTGCTCCCCAAAAGGAAAACACAGGGAGGATGAGAGAATCAGACACACACACACACAAAAAGTGCTGATATTTTTTCACCAACATCACCACACGCTCCACTACCCTGGCACTATCCTAGACCAGGGAATCTAGACCAAGAGAATCAGCACAGTCTGTGCGCCGATGCGGCTCACTTGGGTGTTTCTGTAAATGCAGTGCCAGGGAGCACGGCCATGTTCGTTCATCTGTGCACTGCCGTGACCCTGTCAACGGCACAGCCAGGGTCTACTGGTTGAGACTGGCTGTGTTGCCAAAATGATCTGATGGGGAAAAGTCTGCCAACCTCTGATCCAAACCACCCCAGAAACACCTGAACCTTTTCAGTTTGAAAGTACTTTCTTCTACCTTCGATTTTTTTATATTGCTTATTACTGACTTTCTGAAATTAACCTCCATGAAAGTTTTATTTTTATTGTTTTAAAAGTTTTCATTTTATTTGCCCATGTTTATAGTTCATGTACTTTACAGTTGTCTGAGGGAATGGTTACGAGCACATACTAACACTCGTTTCTTTTTTGAAAAATCCCTTCCTGTTTCCTCTCTCTCCCTCCCCCTCTAGTTCTATCCATTTGTTATTCTTGTTGATGTTGTCTCATCTCCTGCCATCGCCCATAATGTGCACATTAACTGGGGTTCCTGGGTTCCTGTGCATCTTCAACCTACTTACTTCTCCTTCCCCTCCTCCCACCCCTCACCCTTGCTCCCCTGGACCACTTCCTTCTTGTCTATAACGTTTTAAAAGCAAAAACTTCACCATTGCAATCACAAGGGCTGCTAAATTTGTACAACACAATGTCCCTGTTTTTCTGAATTTCTCCCACAAACTCACCCCAGCTCGACCTTCCACTAAAGGCTCCTGCCACAGCCACAGGGCTCCACGCACTGTGTACTTTCAGATCACAGTTTTAGACCCTCTGCCAGGGAATTTAACAGGGCACAGTGGCAGCAGCTTGGACTCCACTGTCCTTCCCTGCTGAAGGAGACCAGCAGCTTCCAAGATAAAATCCACGGCTGGGAGCCCAGAGGGCACTGCGCATGTGCTTGTTAGAGGTGGAGCTGAGGCTGCTGGTGTCTCCCCTAGATGCCTCCTCTCGGTATCCCCACTTCTCATCTACCTTCCATGAGACTTCAAAGAACTTTAGTAACTGCCAGCCTTCCCATACACCTGCCTATGTCACCCACTCCACAGTTTCACAGAGACGAGAGGGGGACAGGAAGGGGACACAGCCTCAGTCAGCGTCTGGAGGGTGGGGTCACCCAGATGAAGGATCTGGCTGAGTGCAATGCACGGCCCCGGCAGGGCAGGGCGGGGCACTCACTCCTCCAGGCTCTTCCGGAGCTCAGCCTCGCTCTCCTTCAGGCGCTGCTGCAGCCCAGCGTCGTCCTCCACCCGCCTGTCCAGCTGGCTGCGAAGCTCCTCCAGGTCAGCTCTCAGGCGTGCTCTCTCTTCCTGGATGTTCTGCTGGTTCTAACATGAATCAGTGATTTCAAAGTCCCTCCACTGCACATGCACACACTTCCACAGAAGCCCACTTCTAAACTCCAAGAACACTTTTCTGCTGCACTTATGGTATGAAACAACTTAAATCACACACCGAAGGCAGAAAAGTATGTAACTAGAAAGAATATTAATTGTCTATATTTAATTAAAAGTAATGCTCCCCAAAAACATAGTTAAAATTTGTATTACTTATTTTACATACTTCATATACGAGGTGTTAACCAGTTATGGCTTATATCTAGATCTCCCCCTACCATTAAAGCCTTATGTGCCCATAGGTGGTACTTTTGAGAGGTTGCTGGATCATGGGTGCCTGATACTGGGTTTGGGTGCATGATAATCAGATTCATCTACTGATTTGTTTAGCATAATTCTAAGTGTGGATGTTGGGAAACCACACCTGCATGGTGGGTAGCACCACCCAATGGGCTGATAGCCTAGATGATATAAAAGGGAGAGTGAGGCCAGCTCCTGGATGCTTCCTGTCTGCCTGCCATGGATTGTTTCTCCTCTGCAATGCACCCCCCTGCCATGCTGCCCTACCTAGGAGCCAGCAGACTATGGACTGAAAGGTCTACAAACTGCTAAAATAAAACTTTCCTCCTTTAACTCGTGGGTATCAGGTATTTTGCCCCAGCATCAAGAAAGTAACTAAGACAGATTTAAATATATGTGAATGTCTAAATTTTTTTTTAAAAACTTATTGCAGTAAAAAATGCATTGTATAACCCACCTCAGACCACTCCTCCTATTTGAACATTAGAAAATGTCCATTTTCTAAAGCTGTTCCAGATAAATAAAAAAACACACAATGAAGGCTGCTGCTAAGGACCAGCCAGCAGAAAGGTACACTCGTAAGTACATCACGGCGTGTCCTGTGATCTGGCACGTGAAACTTCAGGCTCTTCCCCAAAGTCAAAATGACCGTGAAAGGCAAACATTTTAAATCAATTCAGGACACTGAGGCAAGCACGACAAGGCAGCTACAGACACCCACCGTCCAAGCACACAATTTCTCTATCCTTTGGTTACTTAAAGAAAAATATTCTCTTCGGATAGCAGCAGCCAAGTACATAGGAATTTACTCAGTGATGAAAGGAATGTTTCTCTTGGAAGGGAAAAAAATGGCTTTCACTTCACCTGGGCATCCCAGTGTGTTTAAAATATTATCTACCAAGACTGGAATGGGAAACATAAGAGGAAAATCAGATACCTTAGTCTCTAGTTGAAGCCGCTGCTGAAGTTCAGCCACTTCTGAGGTCAACTTGTTTTTCTGTTCCAGCAGATCTTTGACTTCAGATGACGAGCTAGTAGTCTGGAATCAAATGCAAAGATATTCTGATTTAAACACCCACGATGTTTTATTTCAATTCTCTTCCCTCAAATATAATCAGAGCGGTGACAAATAAGGCCTAACACCAGCTTAAGACTCGAGCAACAACCCCTATGGACCTTTCTCTGAATTTACAGGCCATTGATCATGCTGACCCTAGTGGACTTTATTTTACATCATTTGCCATAGTCACAGGGATTATTTCAGCAGACTATGATTAACCCTTGGATAGGTGATATATTTGTTCAAGTCCTTTGAGTATTCTGTAGAACAACATGAAATATTAAATTTAGTACAGGCAAAACTTAATAGCTTTTCCATAATAAAGCTTAAATTCCAGTATGTAGAAATCACTGACTAAGAAAAAACTCAGCAACAAAACTTTGGTAGGTAAACTGAGAAATAAACATTCACTTTTCTTCATCCGTGGCAGAACATGGTTTAGCTTCAGTAAGAATTACTGCCATAGATTATGCACTTTGAGGGTGGAGCCATGGTTTCATTCATCTTCATATCTACAGAACCCAACACCTCTATATTCAATAAAATATCAGTTAATGATTTGTGGAATTCTAGCTCAAGTTGTGATAGAGCACTTCACCTCAGATTTTCTCTCCCAGCAATAACTATGAAAGTTAGACAAAATACATAAGATAATTGCAAGCACTGAAAGCCATATAACTTAGGACTATAATCTTTAAAAAGGGAAAAGGCCACGCTACATCTCCCCTGGGCCATCCCTGACCACATTTCCAAACCACAGTACAGTCAAATTCCAAAACCCTGAACAACAGTATTTGGAAATTACAAATGAAAACAATAAGACCTCAGTACACCCTGATCAGAACACCCAAAACCCAAAGTCCTGAAAACACCAATCTCTGACCAAGGACATAGAACAACAGGACCCTGTGTCACTGCTGGTAGAAATGAAAAATGGTACAGCCACTTTGCAAGTCCAGTCATTTCTTATAAACCCAAGCATGCTCTGACCATAACTCCCAGCATTACATTCCTTGGCATTTACCCAAGTACGATGAAAATGTCCATGCACACAAAACCCTGTGCATGAATGTTTATAGAACCTTTGTTCACAACTGACAACATTTGAAACAAGCATAGTGTCTGCAGTTGGTTAATGGGTAAACTGTGCTATGTCAAACAGTATTACTCACACTAAAAATGAATGGGCTACCTATTGTGCCGTTAGAAGGCACAAGAGAAATGCATAATACTAAGTGAAAGCAAGCAATTGAAAAGGCTACATATGGTAGGATTCCAAATTTATGACATTCTGGAAAAGGTAACAGTATACACAGTTAAAAGATTTCTGGTTGTTATGGAATGAGGAAGAGGAAGGAGAAATAGGCAGATCACAAAGGACTTTTAAGACAGCAAAATCACCCTGCATGATACTACAATGGTGGCTACATGTCATCATTCATTGATCCAAACCAAAAGAAAATACAGTACCCCCAGAAAACCCTAAGGAAATGATGCATGTCACTCCACAAGGATGGATCAATACAGATCCACTGATGATAATAAATTTATCATTGCCAAGAGACTACGTGGGGGGACAGGGAAATCTGTACTTTCCACTCAACTCTACTGGAAATCTAAAGTTTCTCTGATAAAAAAAAAAAAAAAGAAGTCGATTAATTTAAGAGGGGAAAAAACCCCAATGGGAAGAGGCAGCTCACTGATGAAGGAAACAGAGACTAGTGGTTAGCCATGGTAAGCAGAGAGATTTCAGGGTGAGGGTACCACAGAAGCAGCTCCAAAATCCTAGGATAAAAACATCCCTTGGATCCTTGCGTGGTTCCTAGGCTGTGTGAGGAGCCAGCAAAGTCCTGAGGTCAGCAGAACCAAGCTATAAGGAGGCAAAGAAACCAACAGATCCTTCATGAGTTGCACAAAGCTAAGAGGCACTAGAGTTCTGACACAGAGAAATCCTGGGGACATCCTGGCAGTCACTTGAGACCCAAGAAAAGAATAGGGGCCCTGCCACCAGAATAAGGGCAAAAATTGAACTAGTTTTTCCTACTCACAAGAGCAGTGCCTCGGACAAGGAAGCACATGGCCTGGAGGTGGCCTGCAGATCATTTAAATGACTAAGAAAACTCAACATTCTTTAGAGACAGATAACAAATCCAGGACACCTACCCTTGTCACCCGGAGATGATCCAGGCATGGAAGTCAGCAGATAAGGACTTCAAAAGAAACACAGAGAGCAGTTTTTAAACAGAGGAAACCATGGACAAAATGGATGAACAGACAATTTTCCATACTACTTAGATTCCACAAATATAATAAAGTACACATGCTGGACTGGCCACACATGATCTCTGAAATTTAAGCACTCATGTCGATGGGTCTTGCAAGGATCAGTCTTAAAAGAGGATAAAGAAAGTTCTTTTTTTTCTTTTGCAAGGTTCATTTAAAGACATCTTAAAGAGTTTTACAAGAAGACTAACATAGCCACAAAACAAGATTAATAATTTGATAGATCAGTAGAAAACATACAAAATATTTGATGCATGAAAGGGGACACACACGTTATGAACGCCCCCAAACACACAGCAAACATGAACACACACACATGAACAGGGAGTGTGAGATATGCAGGTTATCATCAAACATTCTAGACACATAACTAGAAAGGCTGAGAGAGAATGGAAAAGAAGCCATTCGCAAGGAAATAACAGCGAATCGTTTTTTAATCTGATGAATGCCAGCAACCCATCAATTCAAGAGTACAAGGACCTTAAAGTTAAGATAAATATAAGGAAAACCACACTTAGGCACATTATAGTTAAACTAAAAACTGAAGACAAAAATATTCCAAGCAACCATGAGAGAAACGAAGCCTCCTGCCTGGAGGAAAACACTAAAGCAGACACCTGGCCCCCTGGGGCTCCCGAAGCCAAAAAACTAACGATGCTTCTAATGTGAGGAAACAAAACAATATTGTACAACTTTCCTCAAAAAGGAGAATAAATGAAAGACACACTCAAACATCACTAAGCAGAACAGTACTGCAGGATGTGACAGAAAAATTCTCCGGGATGGAAGCAAATAGTCCTGAAACGAAACAGAAGCACAGGCGTGAGCAGCACAGGGAAGCTGCCGGGCAGAGGTGGAGACACAGGGAAAAGGAGCAAAACACCAGTAAAGGCTTAGACGGCGATTCCTTTAGGCAGAACCCAGCAGAATTCCTGGAGGTTCGCACCTCTCCTTGGTGGAAGCTGACCAGCTAATTCTAAAGCCTATGTGGAAAAGAGAAAGACCCTGCCAGCCGGGGCGATCTTGAAGAAGAATAGTTGGAAGGCAAGCATTGCAGTCCTAGACTTCCAGGTGTATTCTAAAGTGAAGGGCACTGAACCTGCACAGCACCAATGGAAGGGCCAGCGGGGCGGAGCAGAGGCCAAGCGTCAGCACACAAGTGGAACCAGCGTGCACTGTGGGAGAGGCGCAGCCTGAATCACTTCAGCGCTTTCTAAGAGCATGGCAGTGCTGCAGGGCTATACCTAGGCCTACTTTACGACCCAGCAAACTCACTCCTAGGTTTACACCCCCAAGAACGGGGTGAATACCAAAGCAAAACACAGATACAGTAATACTCAAGGTAGGTGCTTTCCCCGTAGCCCGAATGGAAATGTCCACAAAGAAGATAAAACGGTGATTACTGACCCAGTGGCAAGCTCCTGATTGGTGAAATAGTTACCGGACAAATACAACGTGAAGGAACCCCACCAATGCTGTGGGAATGAAGCTGGCTGTGAGAGAACACAAACTGTCACTCACCAGCTGACCAAAGTTAGATAATCACCTCCAGAAAGAGGAGTGCGACAGAGTAGAAGCCCAGGAAACCAGGGCGGTGGGAATGCTGACTGTTATTTGCATGGATGCAAGGCGACATTAAAAATTCACTGAAGCATGCAGTTAAAATGTGTGGTGCTGAGCATGGTGGCAAAGGCCTGTAATCCCAGCAGTCAGGAGGCTGAGGCAGGAGGATTGCTGCAAATTCGAAACCAGCCTGCACTACAAAGCGAGCTCAAGGCCAGCCTGAACTGCACAATGAGACCTTGTCTCAAAAAGACAGAAAAAAAAAAATTATTTGTGCAACTTATTGCATATTGTACTCCAATAAAACAACATATAAATAAATCTCTTCTGAAGACACAGCTGTTGCCCCTGAGCTCACAGGGACCACTGCTCTGCTCATGTTGCCTGTGCCTCTAAGCAAGTGCTGAAATAAACTTTTTTTTGCCTGGACTGGGTCCTTCTGTTCAATGTCACATTTCCATACTGAAGAGAAATATACTAACGAGGACAAAGAGTCTATTAGGAAATATCTCTTATCTGAGTATGAATATTAGTGGGTCTCATCTTTCCTTTTCCCTGGAAATAATAAGAGGATGATGTTCTCCAAAGGATTTGGCTAAAGTCCCACAGTAAAGTGGCTAGATAGCCACCGAAAGGTGAGAGCAAAAGATAGACACAGGAATCAAAGCTACGACAGGCAGCGTCTGGGCTCGAATGTCAGGAATCCAGGAGTGGGCTGAGTGTGATAAACTCCCCACCCGTCCCACGGAACGGATGAGAACTGAGGAGCAGAAACACAGGACTTGCAATTTTCTTTGGCAAACAGAGACAGAGGCAGTTTAGAAATCTAACCCCCACTGGGTAAGGGAGATCATACACTGTTCTCTTGCAAGCAAAACCCTGCCCTGCTTTGCTGTTTCCGAAAGGGCCTCTGTCTGTAGGTAGAGGGCTCTGACATTCTCCCCTAGGGAATCCTCTAACAGGCACCAAACAGATAAAACTCCAAACCCCTGCCAGCCAATAATCAGATGAGAAGGAGAGGAGGGGTGAAGCCCCGTGGGCACTCAAGTCAGAGCTGCCAGCAGAGCCTCTTTCACCCTCCCTTCCCTGTTGTGCCTGGCAGCTCCCTGCTCCTCCAATCTGACCTCACTCCAGAAGCCACAAAAGGAACCAGCGTTTGCAAATAGCAGCAGCCAGGCCTGCGGCAGATTCAGCGCCAGGAGCCCATCCCTTGGCGGAACTGGGGACTTCTGAGGCCCTTCCCACCTGGCTCCCTGCCCCTCTCTGCCCTGACAGTGGGTCCTGGCAATGTCATATGGTCCCAGTCCTGCTGACATCTCTGTGCAGCTAGCTGTCTAGCCTGTCACCCACAATGACAACGTCAACATCAGGGCCAAAGACTGTGTTCTTCCCAAGAGCTTCAAGTCAGCAAGAAGCAAGAACCACTGTGATGGTTTGGATGGGAATGTTAACCAATGAATAGTAAAGGGACTTTAAGGACCGGTAGGGTCCCTCCAGCCCATGTAAGCAAGGTACAGGACCCGAAGAGGCCCCAGGGAACAGCAGATACATGCATGTGCATGCACACAGGTACGGTCCCGGGCTGGCCGAGTGCAAAGGAACCCTGGGCACAGAAGAACACTCAAAGCTGAAGAGCAGAGCAGGTGCAGCCTGCTGTTCCTGCTCCGGGTACAGCGCCATGTCTCTCCTTTCTCCGTGCAGAGCTCCCCTGGCAGGGAAAGGGAATCTGTGCTACCAAGAACTAAGTCCAGAGGGGATGCAGCTCAGTGGCACAGGCGCCTGCCTGGCAAGCGCAAGGTCCTGAGTTCAATCCCTGGTACCAATAAAAAAGAAAGGACCTCTCCCAGGGACTGAGTCCTGACAAGCAGTCTAGGATCACAGAGCAAATGTTTACCTCTCCTCTCAAAGGTGCTGTTTCGTTTCGGGACACAAACTGTGCTGGCATGCGGCAGGTGTTTATCAAGTAGGAAAAAACACCTGTAAATCCCAACTCGTATCCAGCAAATCCATCAAACAGGCAGGAAGATCACTTGGTATCGCCCATTCCTTCCCTCCCATGCCTTCCCCAGGGTTGGTCTTTTTGGCGGTTGCTGCTATTGCTGCTTTTGATTTTTGAGACAGGATCTCACTATGTAGTCCAGACTGACCTGGACAGTGACCCTCCTGCCTCAGCCTTCCCAGTTCTGGGATTACAGCCATGAGCCACCACATCTGGACATTTTTATTCCTTCACACCTTCCAACTCCATCCAGGCCTGCTCACTCTCACCTTCCAAATTTGCCTGTCGCAATTTGAGAATTCTCCCCTAATATGTTATTTCATTCTTCCTATCTTTATCTTCCCCTTCTAAATTTTACTATTTGTTGCCCTATTATAGTTTTTATTGTTTAAATAAAATATTTTAAAAAGCCTCTGAAAAAAAGTGCCAATTAAAATATAGGTCAAATATCCCTCACCCAAAATGCTTGGGACCAGAAGTATTTTTGGATGTAGGATTTTGGGGGAACAGGGTGGGGGATACTTACATATACATAATGAGCTATTTAGGGAGCCTGAGCTGAAACATGAAACCCACTTACATCCTGACACAAGTAACCCAGGGGCAATTTTATACAGTGGTTTCCCAAGTTTGTGCATGAAACAGCTCGTGTTTTCACCATGACATGAGGTCAGGTGTGGAATTTTCCACCTATGGTGCCACACTGCACTCAAAGCTTCAGATTTTGGAGGATTTTGAGGGTTTAGGGATTAGGAATCCGGCCTGTATTTAACGCTCCATCCTCTAGTATAAGCACTGCTCACTGCTGAAGAAGCTTCTTACTTACCACTGTAAACACAAGCACAGAGGCAGGGTCCTTGACTGCATTCCACAAGAAACACACCCTGAAAATCCAAACCACAGCTTACTTGATGGTTCCCCGGGGCGCTCCCTGCAGCTCGAGACTTTAAGGTCTGGATTTTCTCAAAGACCAAGTTGACTTTCCTTTTGGTGGCATCCTCGTTGTCAGAGCTTCTACAAAAAGAGACAGCAGAGAAGGCGGCTGAGGGGCACAACCCGGCTCGGAGGCAGCACAGACCTCACACACCTGCAGCCCCAGGAAGGTGAGCGGCAGGGGCTCAGCCAGGCTGCAGGGTTCGCATCAAGACAGCAAATGGAGGCTGCACTTGGCTACAACTCGGGATGGGGACCGCGTTCCCTAGCATGTGAGGAGGCTCAGCACATTCAGACAAACCTGCAAAAACACTCAATTAAATGCAGTCGTTGGTGGATTCATGCTGATAACTCGTATTCATTCCGGAAGGAATTCTTCGCTTTGTTGTCTGTTGCACACGCACACGCATGTAAACACACACACTTCACCTTTAAATCACACACTGGGACAATCTGCAGAGACCTGAGTGGGTTCAGCCTTTATGCAAAAAAAAATCCCCCCAAGCCAAGACACCCACACACTGGCCCTCAGTCTCCATGTCCCCCTGCACCCCAGATCAAGTCTTGCTAACGTCATACCCTGGCAGTTAAAAGATTTGAAATAAAATTCCTGAACTAGTTGTCACCCACTGCAGTCATCTCCCTCGTGGATCTGTGAGCAAGGGAAAGGTGAAGACAGAGAGAAAACATTTAAAGAATTTTAAAAATTGAAAGTTTTTCTACTTTAACCCTAACGTGGAAGATCCCTTTATAGGAAAAGGCCGATACGGTTAGCCTTGGCTAAAAGAATCTCCTTATGCTTTGTCTTGTTTTGTTTTTCTTTTGCAACCCACAGAGCCTGCGTGTTATGGTTTGAGCCTGACTCTCATCTCTGTGACGCAGACACAGCCCAAAGCTGCCCCATGTCCTGGAGCCCACGCGAGCCGGTGGACAGGCTGGTGCCCGGTCACAGTAGCTTGAGGCTTCTCTCTGTGGAGCTACCTGATGAGAGAAATTGCAGCCGGAATGCCCAGCCCTGGTGAAATTCCAGCACAGTCTCTGAGCACAGACTGAAAGCCTGATTAATCCAAGCTCAGAGATAAGGTCAGCAAACACAGCTTCTAAATGACTTGTAGGTGCCTTAAAAATAATGGACTGAGGCTGTTGGCCAGCGCTCACGGTGGGGTGGGGAAAAGCTGTCCCCTCTCTGTATCCTCCATCTGTGTGGAGGAGCTCAAGATGGCACCCGCCGAGCTCAACACTGAACAGAGATGGCCTCCTGTCCTTGAGTTTGCATCTGAGCAGTCAAGGGTCGTTTTATAAATACACTGCATTCACTGAGTGTAGTGGCACCTGTCTATAACCCCAACATATGGGAGGCTGAGGCAGGAGGATCTCCACAAATTCAAGGCCAGCTTGAGCAACATAATTATGAGTTCAAGGCCAGCCTGAACTATATAGCCAGACTCAGTCTCAAAAAAATAAATAAATACCTACTCATGTTTGCAATATGGTGCCATTCATTCTGCTCCCCTACCCAGGTCCCTACCCTGTTCCACTCAAGCTTTCAATGTTGTTATGAACTACAGCTGTTTTGACTCAGTCCCAGGGCAGGCGGGTAGGACGCACAGCCTCAGAGGGGAAACAAAGAGCCCCCTTCCCCACAGCTTCTCCCCACCATGACTACACTTTGCCCTAAGGAACATTTCTCACCCTTCCTTAAGGTAATTGTAAAGTATCTGCTTGGCCGTCTCCTCGTTGGCTCGCTGGCTGAGCTCCTGCTGGCCCTTCAGGAGATCCGGGGTGGCCTGCAACACAATGGAGTCTCTCATGAGACCAGGAAGGTGACATTTCCCGGCAGATGGCAACACACAGGCCTCTCCTTTCCAGAAACGGCTCCCTGGATAAATATCCTCATGGCTGTGTGCTCCGTGACCTGGAGCAGGTGACTTCGCCTCCCTGTGAGTTTTCCCACCCCAATGAAGGTTTACAGTGTCCGCCTTGTCCCGGCACAGCGGGCACAGCAAACACAAACGGATATGTAGAACACACAGCATCGGGCACGGACCAGCCTCGTCATCCACCGTGCTGTTCCTAGACTCGACAGGTACCACATAGACTCCATCCCTCATGACTAAAGGAGCCCAGGATTAACCTAACTCCTCAGCCTAGGAACTACCCTCGTCATTTGACGTCACCCATAAAAATGTACCTTCATGCACCTAACGCCTGGCTCTCCCGGTGGACATGGAGTCTGTGTGACTTTGCAGAAAGACCAGAGGAAACCCAGGGGTCCTGAAAATAACCTAGAAAGCTTACAGTCAGGAGCAGGACCTAACTGAGCCTAAAGGAAAGTCAGAGGGAAGACAGGCTCCCGGAGCCACCCGTGGCATCAGCGCGTCACTAACCCGAGGGGAGGAAGACCCCGGACTGACTCCAGTGTTACCTGAGGGTTTGAGACGGAAGGAAACGTCTTCACGGAAATTTTCTTGGCCCCAGACTCCGGGGAGGTGGCCGCCGCCCGGTGACTCTGCAGCATCAGTGTGGCGGTGGCCGTTTTCGTTTCCTCCTGCTTCCCGGCCTTGGCAGGAAGGGCCAGGGACGAGGCACACCCCGCTGCCACAGCAGCGCCCTCCTGACCTGCGCTGCCCCGTGGGGCCGGGCCGTCCTTGCCCTGCGAGGCTCCCTGCGGCCCGGCCAGGGGCGTCCTCGGGGGACACAGCTGGGACGGCCGCAGCAGGCGCTCGCAGGCCTTGCCCCGGCTGCGGCTGAACTCGGCCAGATACTCAGCATTGCCCTGCAGACCAAAAGGGAGCGCACTGTCCACGCTGCGGGACCGCTGCCGGTCTTCGGGGTGGATTCTGTGCCGCCGCCCCGACCGCCCTCTTCTCTGAGGCCCGGGCTTCTGGTCGAATTTTTCAATCAGCTGATCCACAGCGGGCAGCGAGCCCGTGTCGATGTCCCGCCCGGTGCCCGGCAGGAAGGGGATGTAGCGCCGGTTCTCGTGCCGGTTCACGCTGTCCGCGTGGATGGCGGCCTCCGGGCCGTCCAGCAGGAACCGGTACAGAGAGGTGGCCGAGGTGGGCGTGGTGCAGGAGGACGAGGACCGCCTGGACCGAGCCCCATCCAGCACCGGGCCCGCTGAGTCCTGGCGCCAGAAGGGCAGCACGTCCGGCCTGGCCCGCTGGGTCTCCACGTGGGGCTGCGGATTCCGGGGGGCTGGGGACCTACCACTCCGGGCAGGGTCCTCGTCCTCCTCCTCCTCTGCTGGCCCGTCCCTTGTGCAGCTCTGCACACTCACCCGCACAGAGGTCCGCTGCCCAGGGTCCGCTATGACCACAGAACCGCACAGCCGCACGGCCTCCAGGCCGGGGCTGGGAATGCAAGTCCTGGGCGGTGTCTTCTCCTCAACAGCATCCTCTGGGGAACAGTCGAACCCTTCCCCTTCGGGGGCCCGGGGAGTCTGCAGGACCGGCTCATGCTTGCCGGGGTCATAAGGCTGCAAGAGCTCCGGGTGCCTCTGAAAGTTCAGCAGCTGGGGTGACTTTCCCGGGATGTCCTTCTGCTCGGGGACACCGGCCCTGACCCCGAGAGGAGAGGTCCGCTGCAGGTCTCCGAGTGGGTCCTCAGGGGGCAGCGGTGCATCCTTGCTGCGCCCCTGCATCACCGGAGACGGAAAGGGGGGCCTGTTCCCGGGAAAGGCTGCGCCCGGCACGCAGTGCTCCTCGTTGTTGAGCACAATGTAGGGGTGGCCGTCAATGCCCTGCACCCGGATGCTGACGCCGTAGGAGCTGGGCCTGGAGCGCGCCACGTCCCTGGGCTTTGCAGCCTGGTCGCCGGCCAGTCGCAGGTGGACACCGTACTCCTGCTGCACACGCCGGTACTCACCAAAGTACAGCTCCATGGCCCTGCAGGGAGGCCGGGGGAAAGGGACGCTGAGTTAGAATTACATCGGTTTAAAATGAAGATTAGCATAATTACCAGGGGAGACCTCAAAGTTCGGAGAAAACAAGATACTTTCAACAGCAAAGTGCTGCAGAGCCAAAGGCCGAGGGCTGCCCTTGCTGACCCTGCGGACTCCCTGTCTCCAGCGCCAGCCCCAAGCTCCTGACGCAGCCTCGGGAATCTGGTTCCAGCTCACTGCCATCCTGGTCACTCTTTCCTTTCAGCTGGTTTCCTCACACTTCAAGCTATTTATCTTTAACCAGCAAGGGTGGCCCAGCTGCCAATGTCTGAGAACAGAGTACTTTTCCATGAAAATACTTAAGAGCTCAAGAGTTCTTCTGATGTTCGCTGTTCTGCTTTTTTCCTGTATTTCTAACCTTCCCACAACACTTGCAGTACTTTTTACACACAGTCCTGCTGTGAAAACTTTTCAGTGTTTGAATATAACATCAAAAACATTCTAACTCTAAGGGATCAGCTCTCGTGAGAGTAAATAATTCTTTTAAATTATTTTGAACCTTTTCCTCTTTCCCAAAAGATTTAAGTGGCACAGTCATCTTAAAAATGTCATTTAGAAAACAGGATCTCAGCCAGGTGTGGTGGCACACGCCTGTAATCCCAGCACTCGGAAGGCTGAAGCAAGAGGATCATTGCAAGTTCAAAACCAGCCTGGGCTACAAAGTTCGCTCAAGGCCAGCCTGAACTGCAGAGTGAGACCCTGTCTCTAAAAGAAAATAAATAAATAAATAGATTGATTAAATATAAAAAATACAATGAGCCATGATGCCAAGAAGCATTGCCTTGGTGTTCGCAGCACGTGGCCTTCCTGCTGATGCCCGCAGTCTGACACCACCCAGGGAGCCCTCCCTGCCCTCTCTGAAAACCCACCATGGAGAAGGGAACCCAGGAGGGTCACAGACACTAGCCACCTCATTTGTCACCTACAAGCACCCTTTTGAGTTTTCCTGCACTCAGGAGTCAAGCTCTTAGTGTATTTCCCAAGCAAACCATCTACTCAATCCATAATTCCAAATGTATGTGCAGTCTTGCAAAATACAAATCAGTTCATTTCCTCTATGTCCATACCGAATTTTATTTGTGCTTTCTTGTCCCATTTCTAGACTGTTTCACTAGCACATATGTTAGTTTTTAATTGCTGCTTCTCTAAAGAGTTCTTAAAATTAACAATTATTTACATTTTTCATTTTCTACTACACTGAGTTTGATTTTGATTTTTATTACAGTGGTCCCTGGGCCCCTACCCTCAATCCACAGAGGTGCTTGAAATTGTGGATAATACCAAACCCCAGGTACACAGATGCCTGTGATAAAAACTTAATTTATAAATTAGGCACAGGATTAGAGATTAATAGCAATAATAAGAACAATTACAGTATACTGTAATAAAAGTTATGTGAGGATGGACTCTCAAAATGAACTTTCACTTTTTCACTTGTAGCTTTTCTCTGGCTTATAAACACTGCCAACATCGATACCCTCACACTTTGCAGTCTGGCTGAGTAACATGAAGCTTATTTTGACACAAGCACTCCAAGACCACAGAGGTCAATCTGATAACCCAGATGGCTGCAAAGTCACTATCAGGTGGACGGCGTACACAGTGTGGACACTCCGCACACAGCAAGTGACTTACGCCCTGGACAGCATGAAGTGAAAGTCCACTGTAGCCCCAGGAGGAGCTGTCTCGGGGGTCCCCACACCTGGCTCTCTTGGCCTTTTGCGGGTTTAAAGCTTCTTTGTTCTTTTACATCACGTGAGCAGTATTTGAGGAGAGGATACACTTTTAAAATTGTCTACTTTGATAAAGTTTCTAATACAAAGCACAGACCGGATATGCAGCCCAGGACACTACAGGCTTAGTACACCGGGGTCGGGGGTGAAACCAGGCCCAGCCAAGCAATACGCTATTCCCAGCCCTTCAAAAAATCTTTTAAAAGGCATTCTATACTAACAAATTGACCCACTGGGATGCTTTTATGTGTGTGGTGTTTCCTCTACACAGCTATTTTCCTCACCCATAATCTCTCCTTATGCTGACACTGACTTTTTTGATGAAAATATTTCTTAATATTTGTTAATCAAAGTCTAATCTAGGGTTTTATGGTCCATTTCAATAGTGCTGCTACTGCTAGAGTCAACACTAATTACATTTCCATCTTTGAGCAAGGCCACCTTGGTTTATTACAATCTTAGCTCCCCGTTGATAAATTAATCCGCATATTTGAATTTCATGAAATACACACCATTTACATTTCCTTGACAACAATCCCCAATCCAATATTTTCACGGACTGACATTTCTCAGCTGGGCACTGGTATCTTAAACAATGTGAATTTCCTTCCCACTCAAAGGGTAAACATTGAATTAATTAATGAACTCAGGGACAGCTGTTCTCCTCTTCCCGGCCCAGAGCCACACTTGGTCCGTCTGGGTCGGAGCCCTGCCAAGGGCTTACATAATTTGGCAGTAACAGCTGATCAATGCCCAGGATGCAACATTATGGCACTTGGCGAATGAAAGTGGTGTTCTGGAGTGGAAATAATGCTTTATGAAAAGACTGCTAAATGATGGTAATTGCTTTACTTAGCAGGATCAATGAGTGTTTCCCTAATAACAAAGAGCTTAGCCCTTGGGAGAGCCACAAACATGCCCCCGATGGCAACATGTCCTCCCTCCAGCCCTGCAGGGGCAGCGCATGGGAATTTGTCACGTATCACTGGGGGCTCTGCACTCTGATCTCTGGGAACCCCCAGGACCTGCACACACACTAACCAGCCAGGCTGCAGGTTCCCAGGACGTGGTGGAGACCACCAAGCAACCTAGACCCTTGACCCTCACTGTGCCCTTCCCTCAGGAGGTCGGTGGTGCCCAGCATGCAGCAGGGCGCGCCTGGCAAGGGGCCAGGGTGGGAGGCACCGTCTATGCTTGCTGTGAGAAAGTTGCTGAGACAGGAGCACAGCAAAGGGGGGAATCCAACGAGCCTCAGTGTGACCCTGAGCCCAGATCCATCAAGTAAGGGGTGAGCCACACGCTGAAGAACAAGGTCCCCAAGTGGGAATCTGGTGTCTCACTTGGGGGTGGTGGGCTCCACTGCCACTCTTAGGATGAACAGAACAGGCAAGTGCTTACTCTTACAGGACACCCTCTGGAACATGCAGAAGACATGATCCCATGGGGAATATCCACAGGAGGATTTCCACTCAAGGCAGGGAGAGAAGAGCGGGAAATCAAGTGGGGCAAGGTGGCGCATGCCTGTGATGCCAGTGTTTGGGAGGCTGAGGCAGGAGGACCGGGCTACACAGTGAGTTTAAGGACATAGTAAGACCCTGTCTCAAGCCCCTCCCTCCCTCCCCCCCCCAAAAGGGGGCAATCAGAGTGGGGAAAACCTAAGATGAGCAAAATGAAGATTGGATTAAACCTATTCCCAGATGAAAGAAGAGGCAGCCTTACCCAAACTGAGCTTTCCATTCTATCCACACTTTCTGTAGCCTAAGTGTAAGAAATGTTTACACTTTCCAAAGAAATGTCTTTGCACACAGTTGAGCCTTTTTAGAACTCCCTGGGAAAACCACTTCAAAAATAAACTTGAGATTTGAAAATAAAGCCAGAATTCAGGATGATTTGAATCTCTTTAAGCCTGAAAAACCAAAACATTCCTGTTTTGGGAAAGATAATTACATTTCCAAACTGCGCGCTATCTGCCCTACCAAAAATCCTATGAAAAGGATGTCGCAAAGCATGACAGCTGTGGGAAGGTCTGCTCACTGTGGCAGGAGAACCTGGAGGCTCACAGAGGTCCCTGCAGGGCAGAGGTCACCGGTGCTACCAGGTTTGGGGTAGTCAGGTCTCCTAGAGGCAGTAACTTCTCCTTGACCCAAACACAGAACTGGGCAAAACAAGCACAAAAGGTAGCCAGGTTTTGCATTTATTAAAGGTAGGAAAATAAACAGGCTCTGCAGAGTGAGTGTGGCCCAAGCAGGAGAAGAATGTGCTGTGCTCGGTGGGACTGGACCACAGTGAGAAATAGCACCGTGGCAGCTACATTTTCAAACTCCATGGCTCAGGGCTACATCAGGCCCAGGCTGTCCTATCAAAAACCTGCTTGAGTTCTCCAGAAAACTGAAGATGGCGCTTTCTGATTGGCTCCTGATGCAGGGCTTTGTTTGCCAATTTCCTGGATCTCTGTGATTGACAGGCCACATCCACCAGCTCAGGCCATTTGCAGCACGTAATATCCCGCCTCCCTAGGACCGACCATCAGACACAGACACACGTGCCATGCCTTGAGTACCAAGCTGGCTTTCTTAGGGCATCCTCACTTCTGTCTGGGGTCTCCAGCCTCCCCTTCTGCCACCTCGTGGTACACAGATCATTGCTGTAGTTATAATGTCCATATGTTCTCAAATTTAATTTTTTAATATCTTACATTCCTCTGTCTCTAAAAAATATACAAAACTCATGTTCCAAAAACTGCTTAAGTTTCAGGTGTGGTGGCATATGCCTGTAATCCTCATACTTGGGAAACTGAGGCAAGAGGCTTCCCATGAGTTGAAGGCCAGCCTGAACTAACTTCAAGACCCTGTCTCAAAAAACAAAACAAAACAAAAAGTTACTTAAGATAGGTTCATTTCTTCATCTTGAAATGATTCCTTCCCCACCCGCACCCGCAGGAGACTGACTACAGGGGCTGAGCTACACTCCCAGCCCTTGTTCCATTCCAAGACAGTGTCTGGCTATGTCACCCAGGCTAGCCTCCAACTTGCCGTCTTCCTTGCCCGAGCCTTCAAGTAGCTGAAGTTACAGGCACGTATGCCACACCACATGATTTCTCTGCAGAGCTAAGAGGCCGAGTGAGTGGCTCTGAAGACAGAGACAGGGCACAACCTCTAGATAGTAACAGGAACGAGTTCCAACACTGGACTCAGTCAAATCCCAGCTGGACACATATTCCAGTCTCTAAGGCCAGGATACCACCAGTGACTAAATAGGCTAATCAGGATGAATGAAACGACACAATGTGTGCTAAATGAAAGGACAGGAACTATTGCACAGATAGCCTGAGTCTGTTGCTTCTGGTCCGACCTGTTCTAGACACTTGGCAACAGGAAGATGTTCACAGCCCCTGAAGGGGAGCTAAGACTGCTACAAACTTACAACCCTAGAGAGCAGACAGTTCTCCTCATTGGCAAAATTTACTGCTGGAAAAGCCATTGTTCTAACTTCTCTGACCTGCTCAGTTTCCCACCTTACTTCAGCAATTCCTCTCACTTTTCCCTCATGCTCCTCCATCCCCCTCAACTTGTTTGAACTCCAATAAATCCAGGCAATCCAGAGGAGCCTTCTTCTTACCTCCCAGACAGTTCTGACCTTCCTGGACCCCAAAATCACATCACATTGCTTTTTCTATGTAAGTCTTTACTGTACACTCATTTGGGGAGATCAGGGGCATGGCCAAGCTCCTGGTAAACCCTAAACACTCAAGAAATAAACTTCTTCCTAAACCAAGTGGAGACTTCTGAGGCTTCTCAGTCTAGTTAACATAGGAGACGGCGTGGCAGAGCTTGGCTGGGGAAATGAGCCGGACCTGTCAATCACAAGATCCCAGGGCAATGCCAGCGCCCCGTGTATAGAGTTCCCGGGAGATGTGGATGGCATAAGTAGGACCTGGCGTCACGGAAAGCCACTACAGCTGGAGCGTTTGCATTGCGTTTCTCAGACATGCCCTATACTGTCATGTTTTTGCTTTTACCTCCTTTTTCTCTCTGTTCAGCCCAGTTCACTCTGCAGAGCTAGTTTCTCCTACAGTGTTTACTCTGCACTTTTCAAATAAACTTTTTGGCACTGTTATTAGTTTGTCTTATTTTTTGTTCAAGGCAAGAAGAACCTGGAATACTTTCAACTGACGAGTCATATCTAAAGAAACTACCCTATCATATTGTCAAAGCAGCACCAAAAAGCTGTCCAAGCTGGGTGTTTCACACCTAAAATCCCAGTACATGGGAGGCTGAGGCAGGAGGATCGCTGGGAGTTCAAGGCCAGCCTGAATTACATAGCAAAACGGCCTCACCAAAACAAACAAAAAAAGAGTAGGAGGGATTGGCATGAACACCACTATACCAAGCCATCAAGAAACAGGGACAACCTTGCCGTCCCCAGCCAGAGAAGCTCTGTCTTCAACCTTGTGTGCTCAAACTTGACTTTCAAGGCCTTCTGCCTCTGGGAGCACTGGCCCCCTCACCTGTCAACACCCTCACCCCAGTGTACTCCCTCAGCAGGAGCCGCCTGGCTCTGTGGTTCTGGCCTGACAATGCTTTCTCAACCGAATCTGAGTCAGGCACGCCCATCGCCCTTGCGTGACGGCCGCATCCTCAAAGCACCAGCTGCAGGGGCCCCAGGATCTGCCTTCCAGGGACATGAGCTCCTGAGCTCAGATCTTCCTCCATGCCTCACCTGGGTCTGTCTGTTTCTGCCTCTTGCCATCTCTAGTCCTGCAGCTCTTCAGACCAAACCAGAGCTGAGTCATTCCCTGCCTCTGCCTGACTCCCAGGGAGGTTCTCTGTTCCTGCACCTCAACATGAGAGAGGAAAAGAGAATCAGCAGACAAGAGAAGTGAAGAGCCACAGCCAGGGCCACAGGAGGAAACCAGAAGACACCAAAGCCAGAGTAGCACGAGGAGGTGCAATCACGCAGCCAAGTACCAAAGACTGGTCCTTTGCGGCGCCAGGCAGGGCGGAGTCCAAGGTGAGCAGGAGGCGTGGAGCAGGCCACAGCCAGCGGACACATGGGTGGTGAAGATGGGCTTTCTGAGGAACGCTGGTTATCACAGGAGTGAGACACAAGCAGAGGAGGCTGTCGGCAAAGCACCGCCAACCCCTGCGCAGCTGCCTCGGGAGGAAATCTCCAGGACTGCAGCAGCAGCCAGGCCCGAGGGCACTGCCTGCACCCCCACCCCAGTTGCATAACTGTGGAGTCCCACAGTCTCCCTCCCTCCTGCCCTCCGCTGCCCGTGACTGAAACGCTGCCAGCCTCGAGGGCGTGGCAGGACTGCTGGAGAGGGGTGAGCCAGGACCAGCGCTGGGAGCAGCACATGGAAACTCCCTCACCCCGGGGCAGCCAACACATCAGTACAGGAGCCTGAAAGATAAACCGTGCCCTTCATGCCTGTGCTCGGCAGAGCCCCACCAGCCACTAATCAGTGCCCACCCTGGTGGAGGGGCCCGCATAGACCCCACCCCACAGGTAGGAGGGCTCCCCAGGCCGTCTACACCCCAACTGCTTCACAGGAGCCTCTCCCAGGTCCCCGCTTCCAAGGCTCAGAGCCACGCTTGTGCACCGGGACGCCTTGGCCTTCCCGCCAGCGCCAGCTCGCAACTGCAATTCTAGGCCATCTCCCACCCCGAAGCCCACGCTGGCGCACAGTGGGGCCAGGCCTACCTTTAACTCACTCTTGACCGCTGTGTGTTTACAGCACATAGTGATCATATTCATCATGCACAAACACATTTTAATTCTCTTCTCATTTCCTTCCTCTCCCTCCAACCCTGCTTCCCTTCCTCACTTACAAAAGCTCTGTTTCTTTTATCTCCTTCAGTTCTTTTCCTGTAAATCTCTTTCCTCTTCCTTCTCTCCCCATTTCTTGCTCCTTTTGCCATTTGAACAGGTCTCTTCCATAGCTAGCCTCCTTTTTGCTCCTTAGTTATACTTTGGATTTCTCACATGAGAGAAACGATGCAAGATTTAAACTTGTGTGTCCGATTTATTTCCCTCAAGATTATGGTCTCGAGATGCCACCATTTACCTGAAAATGTCCCCATTTTATCCTCTTTGTGGCAGAGTAGTACTCCATTGTGTAGATTCACACTCACACTTTCTCTATCCACTCATCTGTAGACGGGCACATGGGTGTGTCCAGCATTACAGCTATAATAAATTGCATGGCTATCACTGTGGTGCGTGACTTTAATTCTCTTAGGTTATACCTAGAGGGGGAAGAGCTGGGTCAAATGGAGCCTCTGGCTTGAGTTTCTTGCAGACCTCTGCATTAACCTGTAAATACATCTGTGATACACCACGCATGCGCTGTGTGCTGCACTGAACATTAACCCACCCTGAGCTTCGAGGCACACACAACGCTCTGCACATTAACCTGGCACTGCCTGTGCACATGCACACTGTAGTTTGGGTAGCTAACTGATCACTGTGCAGAAAACCCCCAGGAAAAACGGGTGGGCCACTGTCTCGGTTTTCTCCTGGGGTCATTTACAAATGCTTTTCCTTGAAAACCCAAGTGTCTGATTTAGCTTCCCCCATGGAGCTCACTGAGGGCAGGCAGGCTGTAGGAATCCTCGCTGATCCCATCAGATTGTCCCACGGGCAGCTGGAAGCAGGTTCTCCTACCGCATCAGGCAGGTTGTTAAATGAAACCAGCAATAAGAGTTGAAAAATCCTTGAAGATAAAAGAATCACTACAGAGAAAAGAGAAAAGAAAAAAAAAACCCAGAGGAAAAGGAAAACATACTAAAAAGAAACAAAGAAAGGAAATTCTGGACTGGCATTGAGGGTTTAAAAAACAAAACCCTGCTCCTGTGACCTCTACCCAGGAAATGACGTCACTATCAATCCGAAGATGCTAAGAACGTGAACAAGGAAAAGAACAACAGTGAAAACCCACCGTCCACACCAGGAGAAGGAAGCCCCTAGCTGGGCCCCCGGAGCAGCCCCCCACCCCATCCACGTCCAATCTGGGCTCAGGCAACAGCCCCTGCCAGCCTGGCTCCCCGGGACACCCAGGCCAGGCAGCCAGGCCAGGGCGCAGCCCGAGCACCTTCCAAACCCAGGCCCCTCTCGGCTCACAGCCACCCTCCAGCTGCCCAGCTTCAAAACCTGACCTCTAGCTCCAGGCTACTTGGGGACAGAGGTTGTGTTCCCTTCACATAGGCGGTTTTCATCATTCCACTGGCTACGTGTAGTGGCCTATGGCATAGGATAAGACTCTCAAAAAAATTAAATAAGGAAGTAAACAAATGATCACCCCACCAGGGAGCGTTACTCACTCCAGGGCTAAGGCTTGGGCTGGCTCACAGCACCCCAGACACCTCCCAGAGAGGAACCTGGAGCTCTGCACCGAAACGCACCTAGAAGGGGCCAGCTCTGTCTCTGCCCCAGCACATGGCTGCAAACATGCATCCGTGTTACTCAGTGGTAGAAGGGAATCAGGGAATTTGGTTCGAGAAAGAGCCCTCCGCAGCCAGGGGACCAGAACAGAGGTCTGTGAACTTCGCACCAGAAATAACAGAAATGTCTCAGGATTGTGGAGGCTTGAATCCATTCAAGGTTATCTGCAGTCTGGGGTCCGGTGGGGGCCTCTCCACTGGGCTCGGATAACTAGTCACGGTGTTCTCACATGGCCTTTCCTCAGTGCATGGGCAGAGGATGGGGAGCAATCCCTCCCGCTCTCCTTCTTACAAGGCCACTAACTCCAGCAAGAGGCCCCACCCTGACTCAATCTAACCCCAGTCAGCTCTCAACACCACACCTCCAATTGGGGGGAAATAAATATTCAATCCACAGCAAATGGGTGGGAACCAAAGCAAGCAGAGGACAAACGATCACAAAGCATGGACCTCAAATGACCACAAGGCATAGAGCCTCTAGATATCTGGTAGTGTAAGACGGTGAACCATTCCCCAGCTTTCTACCTCAGATCCCTGTGGCTGAGTCTTCACTTTTCCCTTTTTAAAAGGCATCAGACCACAAGACCCTAACTGCATCACAAACGCATGAGAAGGCCTCGCAGAGCGGAGAGGGCAGATGCAGACTCCAGAGGGTCTGGAAATGAGCAGATTGAAGGCAAAGGACCCGTCTGGATGTGTGTTACTGAAGGGGATGAAGCTGCTTCCCAAGGAGGGGTACATTAGCCTGAACCTCAGTAGTGTCTCGCTGGTGGAGGAGGAGGTGACAGATACATGGGGAAGGAGCCGTGTGGTGCTAGCTGGAGGCATCAGACACACAGTTACCTGTGTGTGTATGTGTGTGTGTGCCCACACACAGAGTAACCACACACACACGCTCCATAGCTCTCTCCATGGACACAGCCAAAAGCAGCAGTACCCGAGTAGCAGTGACCAACCTGGCACCCAGATCTTAATTTCAAATGCCAATAAATTCTCCATACAAGGAACCAGGACCCTAGAAGAAGTGGCAGATTCGAAGACTAGGAAAGGAAATTTAATAGGCGAAGGTAGAGTATCTTCTAGTACTGGGAATTAAAGACGGGCTTAAAAAACAAACGCCACCCACAATGACGTAGTCACGTCAAAGGGACAGAAGGGCCAACGGAACAGCTGCAGACCACCAGAGCCACCATCCAGTCAAGCAGTGCTAGAGTATAATCCACAGCACAAGTCACACTTGTCTGGGTCTGCAGTTAGACAGATGAATAAATACTCAAGTGCAGAAGATGCAGGGAAATCTCTACCATGAATTCTAAAGAACTCAGTGACTCCTTTCTCCCTCCCAGAGCCAGGGCTGCATCCAGTGACCTCCTCCCATACAGTACAGGTGGGGAAGTGGGGTAAGGGGTAGCTGTGGGGAGAGCTGACCAGCACCACCTCAGCCAGGGCCATTTTGGGACCAGTATCAGCAGGGAAAAGTCTCGCTGGGCACTCGTGCTATGAGACACCCAGAACAGTTCAGAAGAGTCACCCAGCGCAAAGCCAGTCTCAGAAATCACAGCTGAAGGAGGTCAAGGACACAATGAGAGGGACGGGATCCTGGGCCAGGAGAAAAGCACAGACAAAAGCTAGAAAAACATGAAGCATGCACACGATGGAGTAACTGACCCACTCAGGGACACCTTGTCTGTGGAGCTCAATTTGTTCCAAATTCATGTTTGAACACCAAAAAGTTCAAGAACTGAAAATATCTGTCCCATAAGAAATAACAGAAAACCAAATAACAGGTTCTGAGGCCCAAATATTACACTTATAAATTCATTTTTCTAATTCATGGACTGTGGTGGGGAGAGAACCAGGCCTCCCCAGGAGGCGATCCCTTTCTGGAAACCTTATCATCTTCACTGTTTTGTTGGGTTTGATTTTATTCTCTTTTGTTTTGTTTATGTTAAATCCCATGGCAGGAGCAGCTATTTAAAAGATAGCAAGATATATTATGGTAGCACTCTTGGGTTTACTACTGGCTGGTTTTGAAGTCCTTTACTGCATATATTGTTTTGTTTTTATTGCTTCCATTCTGTCCTGTTCTGTTCAATTTTTACAATGTCCAAAGGTATCTGTTACTATTTTGAAGACATTAAAAGGCGTTATGGTAACTATTGTTGATTACGTAATGCTTTGAAGTCCTGTATCACTTACACTGGTTTGTCTTGATTGGTTTTATTCTGTTTTATTTTCCTTGATTTTATCCTCTTTAAAATTAAAAAAAAATTCGTTTTCCAAACTCCCAGCCATTTCTTTTTTTAACTCCAGTGTGGTTCTCAGTTTTCCCCTCAGCTTTACTGCTTGTCCCTGACTTTCTTTGGAACCACGGTTACATTTTACACAAATTCTATAAAGCATGCAAGGAGGAAGGAAGGAAGGAAGGAAGGAAGGAAGGAAGGAAGGAAGGAAGGAAGAAAGAAAGAAAGAAAGAAAGAAAGAAAGAAAGAAAGAAAGAAAGAACAACAAGCAGATGATGAAGGTTTGAGCCCCTGACTCAGGCCGTTGTCTGGAGAGAGCGGTGCTTACACCACAGCGTCAGGCCTGTGGGGCACGTCTGCGGTGAGATGCCTGCGTGAATCACCCTCAGCTCGTACAGGCTTTCTCACATCAGACTTTAGGTTCCACTATCAAGTGAAGTTACAGACAATGAGCAGATTTTTTCCCCCCAAACTCGCTGC